TGATTTTACCGGCTTGCGGCAAGTTGTCAACAAGTCGCGAAAGGTCTGTTGGTTTCGTCAGGCGGTAACAGGCTTGCGGTAACAGGTCTGTCGCAAGCTGTTGACAACAGAGCCGTAGCGACTTGTTGAAACAACCCGCTACAAACCTGTTACTAACAAGAGATAACAGGTCTGATAGAACAACTTGCAGCAAGTCTGTTGAAATCAACAGGTCTGTTACAACTTGTTCCAACAGACCTGTCGCGAGTTGTTTTTGTCAAGTCTGCAGCAAGCTTGTTATCAGACCTGCGACAAACCTGTCCACAACAAACAATTTTTGTCCTGTCACAACAAGTTTCAACAAGCCTGTTGTTGGGAAACAAACCGAAAATGTGAGTAAAGAGATATAAAATCGCACGAAATGGACACTTCCGGCTTCACTTTCTCATTTAATCATTGTCATTGGTGGCAATATTAAATCACATAGGAGAGATTATAGTCCATAGTATCTATTCTCTGATTATTATAAAATGCAAAAGCCGCTGTTTTATTTTTTTAAAAAAAGTTCCGATTTCCAAAATCCAAATTCCAATTTGCTGACGTGTGCTATCGCTATATTTCTTTAATCTGATTGGATAAACGCGTGTGCACACGTCATCATTCCTCGTTGCAATTGGGCGAAATATTACAAACATATCAATCACATAATCATGTTTAGTTGTTTTTCAACAAAATTTCAACAACTGCCTCAAACAAAATCAAACAAGTTCAAAGCTGTTTTGATTTTTGAAGAAACTGTGGCAATGAGAATACAAGATCTACTAGAGCTTAAGAAATGAACAATACATGAACAACCGAGTGTTCACTGCAACGTTCGTCATTGTTGATATGAACATGAAATTCGTTATATAATTTCTTTCCAATTTCAAGTGAAATCTGCGAGCGAGGAAGACGCCTTATTGAAGCTTTGTGTTATGGTATGTACTGTTTTGAAGAAAAATATGCAAGTAGGTTGTCATATTTCGGTCGTACTTAAAGACAATTAATTTTAAAAATTGTTTACGATAAGAACCTTTCTTGAATTTGTCGTATTTTTTCAGCTGTTTTGCTCAAAAATTATCTCGCAAATTTGTTTATAAAACTTTATACTCATATATAAAAATTATTTCGCAAGTTTGTTTATAAAACTTTATATTCATATATAAAAATTATTTCGCAAGTTTGTTTATAAAACTTTATATTCATATATAACAATTATCTCGCAAGTTTGTTTATAAAACTTTATATTCATATATATAAAAATTATCTCGCAAGTTTGTTTATAAAACTTTATATTTCAAACTTCTATTTCACGAAACACTACAACCGAAATATGGCCACCTGTTTGGCCGTTTTTTGTTCAAAATAGTGGATACACAAGCTTCATAAGGCGCTTTCCTCGGTTTGCAACAGGTCTGTCGCAAGTTGTTGAAAACAGCATTGCTGCAGCTCTGTGTCAACAACTTGCGACAGGCCTGTTGAAAACAGCATTGCTGCAGCTCTGTCACAACAGCTTGTAACAGACCTGTTGAAAACAGCATTGTAGCAGCTCTGTCACAACAGCTTGTAACAGACCTGTTGAAAACAGCATTGCAGCAGCTCTGTCACAACAGCTTGTAACAGACCTGTTGACAGGCCGTTGCAGGTCTGTCAGAACAGACAGGTACAAGGCGAGCGAACGCATCCAGATATCGGCTTGTTGACAACAGGATTTAACAGATCTGTTGCAGATCTGTTCCGACTTGTGCGTTTCTGGCTGTGTACAAATGACTTCTTAACTCCGTCTCCTACAAATGGCTTCTTAACTCTGTCTCAAAAAAAAATTGATCCCTTGCAATTTGGTTCGCTGAAGGGTCCAAGCACTAGTATGGCATTAATCTACACGCTACATTAATGGTATGAAGCAGCTGACAAACAAGGTAACACTGTACGGATTTGTTTACTTGATTTTTCCAAGGCGTTTGATCGATTAGATCATGACATTCTTTTGAAAAAATTGAAAGACATGGAAATTCATCCTGTGTTTATACTCAACTGGATCGCAAACTTCCTAACTGACAGACAACAAAGAACCCGTTTTGGTCAGTTCTTTTCTGAGTGGAAGTTTTTAAACGCCGGCGTTCCACAAGGAACAAAGCTTGGCTCGCTATTATTTTTGATCATGATCAATGACTTGGCTGCGGCGGATGAAACCGTTAAATTTGTTGATGACACTAGCCTTTGGTAAATAATATCAAACATTTCCCCGTCCCAGTTACCTGCTAACATCAGCAGTTGCTCTGAATGGTCATAGGTCAATAATATGAAGTTAAATGTATCCGCAAAGACCAAAGAATTGCGTATCTGCTTTTCTAATCTTATTCCATCGTTTGCCCCTATTACCATCCGTGGTCAAGAGGGCGACTTCCGAGGCAAAATTGTTGGGCGTTGTTCTTTCAGACGATCTTAAATGGAACCGCCACATAGACTACATTTGCAAGAAAGCCGCGAAGCGTTTGTATGGTCTGCGCCTTCTTAAAAGAAATTCTTTACTTCTCATATCCTGATCTCAACCTATTGTACACATATTCGACCAATTGTGGAATATGCTTGTCAGGTGTGGCATTATGGCCTTCCTCAGTACCTGAGTGATCAAGTTGAAAAAATCCGAAAAAGGGCATTAAAAATTATATTCCCTGGAGCTACCTATGCTGAATGTTTGCTTAAAGCAAACTTAATGACTCTTTATGAACGTAGAACAGTTCTTTGCAAGCGCCTTTTTTCGAAGATGTTGGAACCCACTCATAAATTGAATGCCTTAGTATCGCCTAAAAACCTTCAAAGTTATGATCTGAGGTCTTATTCTAACCTATTAGTACCTAGGTGCAGAACTGAACGTTTTTCGAACAGTTTCATTCCCGCTGCGTCTCGTGCTTAGGGGCGGACCATTAGGAAAGTGATGGGGGGGTGGGGAAGCAAAAATAAAAATCGAGCAGGGGAACAGAAATAAAAAAAAATTCGTGCACCAAAAAAGTTTGAAAAAAAAATTCGTGCAGAGACTTTTCAATAGGGAAAATTATAAGTTGACAGGGCCTATCAGATGTATAGTGCTAGCCTCCTCCGCAGGTATCTGGTGGTACTTACTTTATTAATTTTTTGCCTGCAAGAAATTTTGCCCGATAATATAAAGGCGATGCCTGCGGAGGAGGCTAGTACAGTGTAAGAGTGGCCCCCAAATTTGGAAAATAAAAAAAATAATTTGGAACGTTTTTTGATATAAGTGTGAGAAAAAAAATTCTAAACCTACATTGGTGCAAAAAAGGGTTTTAAGCATGTTTTAACAAGAATTTGTCAGGGAAAATTTGCTTTGAACCTTAACTGAACTGATGTTAGTCCGGAAAATTTTTTGACCCTTTTTTATGTTCCTTCGCTCGCCAACAACATTATTTTTGGAGAAAAAATTTGTAAGTGATTATTTGAAAAAATTATCGACACAAGCAAAAATTTTGAAAAATAATCGTACAGGTTGAAAAATGTGCCCCCATCACTTTTCTAATGGTCCGTCCCTTATAATAATAAGTAAACTTTAGTTTACTATCGTAATTTTTATCTTTTACTTGTAAATATAGAACAGATTGAATATCTATGTTCTTTATCCTGACGACTGAGGGGTGGAAGGCGTGGAACACCCCCACACACATCCTCGAACGACGTTTAATTCTGTCTGTTGTGAAAGTTTTGTGCACCTGTTACACCCATAGTCTGCACCCGCACTGCACCCACAAGTTGAAAATGCAATAGGCAAGGGGTGCACTTGCACCCGCTGCACCCGTGGTTCCGGCATCCCCGATTAAAGTAAAAGATACGGCAACTTTCTGTCCATTTTGGGGTGCTATGCCTATGGTCTAAGCATGGACATCACAATTTACTGTTTTATTGTGTTTTAATACTGTGGAAAAGTACCTTATAAATTTACAAAACGCCAAAAGAAACAGCTACGTCTGCCATCTGCCATCTGCCGGTTTTCAAAATATAGTTTGGTACACAAATGCCGTAATCAAGATTGTGTACACTGTACAGTAAAAGGATTTACATCACAAGATCTTTGTCGATTGCCACCACCAAAACTGTAGACTGTAGTTTTATTAAAGCCGAGCATTCAACTCAAGTTTCTTCAAAAAATAACTGTAGAAAAAATACTTGTATTGCCAAACAATTCGCTGTACCACCACCTGTTTCACAAAGTTTCCACTTGCCATTTGTTGAACAGTCACAAGTTCTTGCACTTCTACTGTTTGCAGCGCAGTGTATTACCTACTAGTAAAAACACTGTTTTTGAAAGCTGTAAAACAACTTCGCTGCTTCTTTTTCTGTTTTCGTGTTCTGTTTTATAGAATAAACACGCATGCGTTGAAAAATGCTTTTCAACTTCTAAAATAATTCGAAGTCCATTTGATTGGCTGGGATTTTGTTCTCAAATTTAATTATTCAAGCACTGCCTAAAATTCCAAAATTGATTTATTTAAATTTATATTTTTTCTTGAAACTTTCAAAATGCTTTATAAATCCACGTCTGAAATGTTCAATTTCAGTTGCCTAGTTAAACAATATTTCTCCCATCTATCCCATTCTATCCCTAGTTTTGACACGGGGCCAGCCAATCAAAAACGTTCTTATATTACATTTATTTTTAAAATAAATTTAACCTTGGGTTAAATGTCTTAACCCTGGGTTAACTAACCGCACCTCTAACCCAGCTTTGAACAACGCAGTTTTAACTCAGGGTTAACTAACCCTGGATTAAGGATTTTAACCCAGGGTTAGCGCTACCCGGCCCTGGGTTAAAGTTAACCAGCTTTTGAACAACCGGCCCCAGTTCTACACAATGTTAACCCGAACAAGTTTCGTATTTAACTGCGTTACAAATCGTAGACGCTGTAATTTAATTGTGGGACGTATTTTATTATATTTCATTGCGCATGCGCTTGAACTTTTTCTGTGTTTTTCGATAAGATATCGCTGAACTCTATTAGTTTTGTATTAATTTTTATTGTGTCGTACTCTGAATGTTTGTGATCATGAAGTGACGGCCGTCAAGAAGTGTGGAACATCTATATATTTCAAATTATTTTTTAGAATATTGCGATGGTATTTTACCAACCGCGAAGGCCAGTGTGAACGCCTGAGCAGGCGTCTTGTATTAATGTAAATCTCCACTTTCAAGGTTACGACTCTGAATTATCCAGTGAAGGACCAAAGGATTCGTATCAGACGAGAGCCAAAAAATTATGTTCGTCGAGACGGTAAGTTCTTTTATGACGAATTATTTTCAGATTTATATGTTAAACTACTCTGGTACCAGATCTGCACCAACGTTTTAATAAGCAAGAGTACGATTTTAACCTCCAAATGCATTAGGGATTTAGGGTTTTATCGGATCCACATAAAGCGCATTGTTCCTCTCTCCTCCGCAGAGGCTTTTGTTTTCTTGGGACATTTCACTACACTTTACGTGGCGGATCTTGGTTACTATATAAAGCCTCTGCGGAGGAGAGAAGCATTGTTCACTGTATTCAACAAGTCAGTTTGCTTATTTAAGAACCCCAACAGCGAGGTCATATGATTCCATTATGAACCATAAAGATGACTTACAGTATAATGAGCATTAAGTATCATCACTTTGGGTAATATTTCGCCGAACGTCCCCTCGCTCCGGGTCTATAAACGATAAACATAATACCCTAACTTCAAAGTGTCCAATCAAAATACAGCATTTGTACCACGTGACGCTATGATTTTTACGGTCTTCCCCCAAATTTATGATTGCGCAATGCAGCACAAGGTAGCTACTGTCATATACCACAGTGTGATATTTCTCCGAATCCCCCGAGTCTGTAAATGATAAGTATAATATAGTGATCACATGCACTTTGTATGATTGTTCGTATGTATCCTGCTTTCTCAGAGTGTGAGAGGAACAAACTCGTCGACACAGTTCACGGATTTTTACCGTTGCCGGACGAAGATTACAATGTGCAGTTTATTAAGGACAGTGGAAAGTACTGGGTGAAAGTTAGTTGGGAAGCACCACTAGGTACGTAATGTTCAACCAGTGACTGTAGGAATAGAACGTAGGTGCATATGGACTATGGTATTTCAGGACTTAGTCTATCGTACCTTCGATATCCCATGATCTATGTCGAATGATTGTTTGCACCTAAACAAATTTGACACCGGTGCAATGGCAAAAAATCAAGTTTAATTTTCTTAACTCTAAGTATAATTGATGCTATAAGTCTGTCTCGAAGCATAGCGTATATTCCTATTTTGAGGCAGGTGTAACGCGAAATTCCTGACTTGCGAAATATCTGACTATTGTAGAACTGCCCATGCGCAGACGATGTGCATGAATGACTTTGCTTGACTCATAAATTTCGCAACCGCTCAACAGACAACACGTATATTTATAAAGTCATTTTGTTGGATAATATTTATACATAAATTTTCAAATTCTACAATTGATCAACTGAATTGACGCTGTACCACTGAGGTGTGCAAATCCGATCCGATCGGATTCGTTCGGATTTCGGAACCAAAATATTCATTTCGGATCGCATCGGATTGATAAAGTTGTTTCGTAGTCGGATCGGATCGGACTTCGATATCCGAAATAAAATGAATGAATTAATATCCACGCTTTATCGCAAGAATTAATTATCCATGCATTTATCAAAGCATCGCGGTTGTCGCTGCATTATTCGTTTGATACTTCAACTGGACGTCACTTTGTCAGCTTCTTGACATGTATTCCTTGCTTTTATATTTATTTGGTTAAATATTTCAACTTGAATGAGAAATTTATTTTATTAAAGAATTCTTCGGATCGGATTGGAATTCTTTATCAAAACTCGGATCGGACTCGGATTAGACAATTTCGGATCGGATCGGATTTTAAACATTAGGCAATTGTCGGATTATAAACGTCCAATCCGATCCGATGCACACCTCTATTGTGAACGTTAGCGTTCAGCGATAATAAAGCTTGACTCTAAAATCTGCGAATGGAAAAAGTCAATCGAAAAGCGCTCTTAGTGATATAAAATAGACTCCAGTTTCAAAGGTGATGCTATATGCATTATTATAAGCACCAAATCTCACTATTTATTAAGCAGTAACAATGAGTTCGTGTATTGGCCGTTTAGATTTAGCGATATGACGATGTCTATATTAGAAACACTTAACGATACTATTGGTAACATTGTATATGGACTTAAAAATCGTTTCGACCAACTCGGCTGTATTTAGCAAACGTCGTGTATTTCGCGGCCACGCCCACTACCACACAATCCGCTTTGAAATTTAAAGTGTTTGTAAATTGAAACTTAGCGATGTCGATTTGAAATATTGAACAAAGTGTTAGAAATTAACATCATAATTATTTATCTAAACTCTAAAAACCAGTTTCGGCCGACTTAGATTTTCGCGCCTGTACGCGCGAAATTTCTGACCCGTCACGCTTGGTCAGGTATTTCGCAGAGATCAGGAATTTCGCGTGACACAGTGAATTGCCCGGAAAGGGAAATAAATAAGTATGATTGTAATATATTCAAAGTCTATTCTAGTTCGTGATTGGTCAAAACGCGTCGGATAATTCTCGGTATCTTGAAGCCGTCGCGTTATTTCAACTGCAATCTCGTTCCCCGAGCCTGCGATCCTCGGGAAGGAACGCGAGGCTCTGGGATAATCCGTTTCAGGGAGGAATCTGATTGGCCGAAATTGGCCGTTGAAATGGAATGCGCAGTTCAATCTTAGCCAGGATTCCTGGCTTCCGGCAACGGATTATCCCACAGCCTCGCGTTCCTTCCCGAGGATCGCAGGCTCGGGGAACGAGATTGTTTCAACTGCTGATGCACGCTGCAGTTGTTACCAAGCCCCTGCGCGGTCCATTGTTTGCTAAAAAGCGCGCGAAAATTCCATATTTTTAAAAGCGTAAACAAAATGGCTTTGCTTTCTTTCTAGCTTTTGAATATATAATAAAACGTGCAATTATTGAATTCGGTTTTCGTATGATATCGAGAATTATCAAGGCCTCTGTTTGTGTAACACAAACCTCGGCCTTGATAATTCTCGATATCATACGAAAACCGAATTCAATAATTCTTTATTTATATTGTAACAAAGAAAAGATTGAATATAGCCTTAGGATTAGGCAAGGTTAGGCCTGTTTTATACGTCGAATTTTGGTCGCGTCGAATGCAATTAAGACAATAAGCAATTATTGGATTCGGCTTTCGCATGATATCAAGAATTATTCAGACCGAGGTCAATGTTACTGTCTGTTACGTATAAAACGATTCCTGTTCATGAGGTAGGAAAAGTACAATTTGAATATCAAACACCTTGCACAAAGTCAAAGGTCAGCTAAATATTCTATTTCTACTTCTATTTACCCCTTTGTCGCTTTTTTCGTGCTTTCACTATCCTTATCTGCCAATAATTTGGAGAGTTCACTTTCATTCAGCGAAGCAAATCTGCTGTAGGCCATTGTTTGTTTTTT